GCAGACGTGAAGGGAGAGTGGCAAACCTGCTTCTATAGGGGAGATGCAAATTCAGACCCAAGAAATGACCACTTAATGGAATCACTGATTCAGATAGATTCCACGAGCTCATTTCAGGCACAGCTATGGTTGCAGTAAAAACAAAGACCACACTTGCCACATAGTGAAGGGAAGGATTCATAGTGCGTTTTCTAAGATTAGGTTCTTCCACTCATACTTGGCTTAATTTTTTTGGTGTTGCTGGGGATCGCCAACTAAGCTATATCCCCAGCCCCCATGCTTTACTTCTCATCTGACTAGCACTTGAGGATGGATTCTGTGGCTATGAGCGTTCTCTGGGTATATCCCAACAGAAATCAAAACCCTCGGCACCACTGATTTTAGGCGTGCTAATCTGCGATCCCCTGAGGAAATAAATCCCCCTATAATTACCAGGATTTCAAACTTCACACCTCCAAAAACAGTTTGGACAAATAAAAATCCTATTAAAACAAGTTCTGCTAATTAAGAGAAAATATGTAGCCCCTCAAGTGCCCCCTATAGGTGTGTGGAACGGTGGCAAGAATGGATGTAAACAAATGGATCAGCAACTTTTCCAGCTCCCCATGGAATTTTCTTGAGTCACTTGAGGCCATCTTAAATTGTTTCCTTTCAGCCTCATGCCCCATAGCGTGTGTTAGAAAAACATTAATTTATTACATGAAACAAATGAATAATAATTTTTGAGTTTGGGTCTCATTGGGAAGATTCAGAATCTACAACAATTCTCTCATGTTACAACACCCTAAATTTCTTGTGTTATTTGTTCCTCTGCTCAGGTTCAACTACTTAAACTTCTAGGCTTCTAGGGAATTTCAGAATTGCAGAACTGGAATTAGATCAGGGAAATAGCATCTATTTTATTCTCTCCAACCCCCGCCCCCAAGTGAGTCTTAGACCATTCTAAACAGTGGAACATTATGTCTCACTTTACTTGGAGGAAGGAACTGGAAAACTTGCATGGAAAGAGCATTCTGTAGTCCTGAAGCCTCTTTGTATGCTTCTGGCCTCAAGTTTATAATGTTTTGTGTACCTGGTCACTCCACGTCTTTTTACCCATGGCTTAAAACACCTGCTCCAATGTAGCCCAAATGCACATTTCTGCTGGTAAGGGTCTCTATTGTATCTATTTGCTGTAGGGTAACCTCTTGTTTTTAGACTTACAAACAAAGCAAAATCAAAACAATAAGCTCCAAGGGCTCACTCAGTGCTTGATGGCCCTGTCTCAGAGCTGCAGCAACAGCACCGTCAAACTGTCACCGTTCAGTAGCACTTGCCCCCAGACGCCATCCAGGTCTGCACCTGCGCAACCAGGATGGCATTGTGAGTCACTCTGTCTGCCACCACATAAAAAGCTAATTTCACATTCAGAATGTATGTTTTTCTTTCAATACCAATAGCAACAAGAGTGTGCCAAAAAATTCCCCCTGAAGCTCTATTCTGTTTTTTAAACTACAGAACATTCTTTCATAGTTTGACAGTTAAAATGCTGCAGTTAATGTAATAAACAGAGAATTTTTCTAAGTAGCCTGTCAAAACAAGTGACACTTTTTTTTTTTTTTTGGCTAGCGAGTCTCAGATTCAGAACAATAGGAAGTACCTTTCAAAGCAACATCTTCATTATACAATCAAATTCTCAAAGTAATCTTCTCATCAAAGAATATTGTGTTATTTCTTTCCTAGTAATTATCAGAGTTCTGCAACCTCTCTGGCAGTGGTGACTATTATAAGATGCAGCTGTGCTGAGTTAAAGAATTGAGGGTCTTGCCCCCGTCGACATGGAGCCAATGCATCTTCTGCCTCTCAATGACTTGGCAGTTTGGGCACTAAGGACTCAACATTTCCAGGGCCTTTGAACATGCCCTGTTTCCAGAAGCAAACTTCTCAGCTGTCTCTTCAAGGACAGCAGTTATACTGGCAAGACTTGATCACCTAAGCTTATTTTCTTTCTACGTTAAAAAAAAAAAGTAGGGGGCTGGGGTTGTGGCTTTGCGGTAGAGCACTCACCTAATGTGTGAGGCCCTGGGTTTGATCCTCAGCACCACATATAAATAAATAAAATAAAGGTATTATGTCCACCTACAACTAAAAAAAATTTTTTTAAAAAGTTGTACCTCCTAAAATTACCAGCAGACCTAAAAAATAGTGTGTGTGCATATGTGTTTGCAGAGTTTGAATGTCAGTCTCACAAAATTAGATTTCTTATTTTTCACTTTCCTATCTCTTGGGAGCTGTATTCCAGTAGAAAGAATATTTAAGAGTCAAAAGAAGAACGGCCAACCTAATCCCAATGACTGCAAAATTAAAACAAAGCAAAGCAAAACTGTGAAGACAAGAAAAATCCCAAGTCTCCCCAAAATGAATCTGCCTCTTGGAATAATGGTGAAGCTGCAGTTTAACAGCCAATGCTACAGTGGGAGAGCTAAGCTTTGCAATGTAATTTTCTTTGAAGAATCTTTGGGCTGATGGGATTCATGCAATTGGATGCTGTCTGGAAAAGCAAGAAAGTTCACATCGTAGAGTCAGCCCTCAGTTAAGTGTTTGCTCCATCTGATTCTAATTTGGGAATGCCTCTCCCACTGGATTACAAACTCCCCAAAGTCAGGGACCATTGTATAATTACTATTATTTTTGCTTGTAATCTATTTGGTAGACAATCAAAGAATTGAATGGCATTTCTGCCTCCCTTGAAGCAAACAGGACTGAGGGAACATTAGCCAGGGCTGAGTATTCATTCATTCACTCACTCACTGTGCAAAGGATTGTCAATGGCTTACTTGGTGTAAGCCCAGAGTTGGGGATGCGATGGTTTTACTATTCCATACCAGGTTAAAATCCCCATCTCCAGTGTGTTGTATTAACACACACTATGTTTTCCTTTGTAGGACATAAGGCGGCTGTAATTAAATGATGGCTTCCAGGTCTTAAAATCTGTTTCCTGCACTTCACAGAGCTCAGGGAAGGAGAAGCAAACTTCTTGTTCTCTGGTTACCTTAATTAGCCTTAGCAACCTAGCGTAGTGTCTGGAACAAAGTAGGTATTCAATAAACACTGGTGAAAAACTAACTAAATCCAGTGAAATGAGATTTGTCTTTGCCTTTAAGAAACTCCGTTTATTGCAATGTTTCTCAACAGGACATTATTTTCAGGGTAGCTCCACTCTTTATTTGGGGCATCATCCCGTGTTTGGCACCTTTTTGGTCCCAGCCTTTGCCCAGTGAATGTCAGCACTGTGCCCACTCATGTACTTTGACAACCAAAACATCTTCACACATTCCCAAGTGCTGGGGAATGTCCTATTCCTACATCAGGACCACTGCATGATGGTGACTTGAAAAAAGGTGACAAAAAGGCAGAAAAGGGATGGATCCAGGAAATGATGAGGAAGGACAAGTGACAGACAGTGGGATCAGAGAGAGGAAAAGCAGTCTGCCAGGAGAGGAGGCAAGCTTTAGAATGGCATCCAAGCTCCCCAAGCCCTAGGGCATTCTCCTGTGTGTCCTGGGCCACCTGCCCTGCAATCCTTCAGGGTAGAAACAGCATAAATTGGTTGGGCAGGATTCTTGGACTCTACTCCTGTTAGGTCAGCAAAGCTCTGGCTTTTCTGTTTGACACTTTGGATTTTCCTGTTAAATTTTTTGTTTGAAGAAAGGGTTTTGAGGCTAAAAGAACTAAAAAACCATGGTTCTAGAGTTAAGGATGCTGGTACTAACTGGGAGGAGGGAAGGCCTTTGAAACACACAGTGTGGGAGATTAAGACCCAAGAGAAAGTTTTGACAAAAGGGACATGGTGTGACAAAAATGAAATGTGTTGAAAAGCCTCTGCAGCACTGAGGATGGGCAAGTGAAAGGGAAGGCATCCTGGGGACAGGAAACAAAGCTGCACTCGGAGAGGCGACTGTGAGTTGGTCTGAGGGGTAGGCATGGGGGAAGTTGGTCTGAGGGACAACTCTCTCTTGGAAAGTGCCCAGTGGACACACCAGACATGTAAAGTTTAAGGCTCTTGTCGGGACCTGATAATAAATGAAGGTTGGCCAAGCCAGTGACTCAGAGTTGACATCCACAGGCGGTTGGCCCTGGTTGCAGGGTGGAGGGCAATTTCATTTCCAACAGAAATCATAAGCCTATGTGTGGCATTTCAGAGCCGAGTGCTAAGCTGTCCGCGTTGCACAGGTTTCCCTGAGGATCTGACGGGTATAGGCTTCTTTGTCTGCCCCGTAGCATCCAACAGAATGAGCTTTTTTGATTAAATATTTCAAAGACCTCAGCTTTGGCTGGTGGGCAGCTATTGAAGGTAAGGCAGTTTCCCGGTTGAGATGGGAGAGGCTGCCTCAGTGGCTGGCTGGAGGCCTTGGAGAGGCTAAGGGGACAGTCCTTTTATAAGAACATATAGTGGGGCTGGGGTCGTGGCTCAGTGGTAGAGCGCTCGCCTAGCACGTGCGAGGCCCTGGGTTGGATCCTCAGCACCACATAACAATAAATAAATAAAGACATGTGTCCAACTAAAAAATAAATCAGTAAATATTAAAAAAAAGAACATATAGTGCGAGTTGGGGTGAAGCTGGGTGCTGAATGAATGAGTCCACGCATGAGCATGGGGGTCAGAGTTCCGATGACCTCTGTCCTTTGGCACCAGGAAGAAAGGGGCTGCCGCCCTCTGGCACAGAAGCAGCAGTTTCTGTTTGCAATTAGCCAAAGGTCATCTACTATGGGGGCTCAGTTTTGACAGCCTGAATTAATTGCTGAAGATTTCTATAGTTTTAACTCATATGCATGGAAACGGAGTTATACAGCCTCAAAAGAAAAACAGAAAATAAAACAAAGAGAAACTCTGTGTCTCCTCTTCAGTATCTGGCCTTCGCCCCAGGGGTAGGCCAGGGCTTTTGAAATCTACCTGGCTTCCCGCCCCAGGTGCGCTGCACACTGGCCAGCCCTGGAGGGCCCAGGCTGCTCTCACTCACGGTTTGCGCAGGATCATCCTCATGTGGGCATCGGGGCCCATCTGCGACAGTAGCAGCATGGTGTCCTGGAGCTCCTCGTCACACTCCTTCTTCTCCTCTTCAGTAGGCAAAGGGGCATCCTCATGCTCGTCATCCAGAAATCGGTAAAATAAATATTTGTCTTGGAAATGGTGTTCCTGGTCCACTGCGGGAAACATGGAGGCCAGTATTAGCCGTGGCACAGAGCTGTCGGCAGCCTGTTCACCAGAGCAGACGGGTGGTGTCCAGCAGGAGAGCCAAGTGGCAGCTGAGCTGGACACTCCGCACCCTCGGCACCGGCCTTGCCCAGGCCGTGCAACTGCAGACATGACCTCCTGGTTGCAGTCATGCACACCAGAACCCTCCCCACCCATCCTCTCCTGGGCCTCCGTGGGACTCCCTCTGAGAACCTGCCAACTTTTCTGAGATGAGCACTTTGACCTGCAAAAATTGCCTTGGTGACATTTTGTAGAACACGGGACATATGTCCCGAAGAGGAAAATAACCACTGCCAGATCATGCCCTAGAATGTTTTCTGAAAGCAGACTTAACAAGAAAAACTCCTTTGTCAGATCAGAATTTATAGTTTTCTTTCTATACTATTTATAAACATTTCTGTCAACACTTTGAAAATCAGAAGAAAATTAATTGAGTTATTGTTTGAACAAAACTAGCCAGACCAAGCTCCTAGAAGGATTTTGTGATAATTTTCTTCCAGTTCTGATTTTTCAAGGTTCCCTACCCAGTGCATGCTGGGTGGTTGCTCTCCCACAGATCTACACCCCCAACCTGCCTCTTGTTCTTGTAAACAACAGGATTTAGATCTCTGTAGGACAAAGACAGTAAACTTGGCTCAGCATCCCTCATCTAAATAGCTGAAGCCTTTAGCTTCTTTTCAGGATGAGCAGCAATAGGGTCAAAAGATAAAGAGAAATGGTTGACCCTTGCTGCTCCAGGTGATCAGCTTCAACTTGGTGCATGTTGGAAATGCTGGAAATGCAGATGTTTGGGATCCATCTCAGGCCTGCAAATTCAGAATCTGTCCCAGGTGATAGGTATGCACATTAAAGCATGATAAACACTGGAAAAACCATCATTAGGTTCCCAGCTGTTGGTAAATGAAATGGAGGATTTAAAAATAAACAAGGAGAGAAATGAATTACAGTAAATGGGGTAGAGAGAGAGGATGGGAGGGGAGGGGAGGGGGGATAGTAGAGGATAGGAAAGGTAGCAGAATACAACAGTTACTAATAGGGCATTATGTAATCACGATGTAATTCTGCAATCTGTATTTGGGGTAAAAATGGCAGTTCATAACCCACTTGAATCTAATGTATGAAATATGATATGTCAAGAGCTTTGTAATGTTGTGAACAACCAATAAAAAAATAAATAAATATTTTATCTGTTTGGAAAAGTGGTCTTAAACAAATGGCATGAGCAGTTCAGTCACAGTTACCAAGGATCACAACTTCAGAGCACATTCCTGATTTTACATAAGGTCATCTGTGGATATATATAAATCGACTCTCCCAGACAGCAGCACAGTTAAAAGGCAACTTCTGAGTTCATTACTGCTTTCATGTCATCAGCCCAGTCACACATTTCATTGTTCTTCATTCTGCCCCTGTATCAGGATTGCGATGCAATGCTCAGAGTATAATCACACTATCAATGAACTGTGAATGCAAACTAATAAACATAATTGGAACTGATGCACTCGGGTTGCAATTTCATTTTCCTTTCCTTCGTTCTCTGAAGTTAGGAAGGTACAATGGTGGAACACAGCAATCAATAGCTTCCACTCGCTGCATTTGTATTGCTAAATGAAGATGCTAGCTCCGTGGTCCCTAAGGGCATCATAATTCTTTCTTGCCCATTGGGAGTTCTGCAACAGCTTGCCCAGGGAAATGCACTTAGCATTTCTTAAGGGTTTTCCAGGGACTGGGGCTTGTCTTACCATGGTTGAGGACACCGTCTTCTAATAGGACTTGCCACATGCCAACAGCTTGAGTCCGGGAGTGAACACAAGGAGTCTGTTGCATCATCCAGTCCACCAGCTCGGTTCCCACACAGCATTGTCTAGAGGAGACGGGAGACAGAAGCTGGAGATGGCTTTCGAGAGAAGTACCTCCCAAAGAGCAGAGTGCTCTTACCCTCACAGGTCTCCTGGCAAACAAAGCACCACACAGTGTAGCCTCAGGTTCTCAAAGACAGAACCCAATATAACCACTCATCTCATGGGAGAGTCTTCGAAGCCAGGTTGTCTAAATAAAAGCATTATAGTGTGCAGCACCAGCGGAGACCACAGGGCCTCTGGAGGGGGAGCATAAGCCGGTGAGCTCATCACAGGAACAGAAACTTGGTCATTATAAGTTGGAAAAATTTCAGAGTACGATGAAGGCAAAACATAGCACTGGCTCCCTTCACCTGAGCCTTGTGGGGAACGAGTTAATGTTTGCGAGGCGCTTGGAGGTGCTCTATGAACGGCACTGTATAAGTGCAAAATTATAAAGCACTTTATATTTTCAAGTAATACTACTGATCTTCCTCTGGAGGGGTGTTGGGAGAAACAAACAATTAGCAATGCAAATCTCTCTGAAAAAAGGTCTGTGTAATGAGCATTAGCACTTCTACAGCAGAATCTGTCATTTAGGAACACTACATCCTCCCTGGCTTTCTGTATGTTCAAACATTTCTTGCTAAAATGCTCCTCTGTGAAGAGTTGGTGTGGATGGGCAAACTCTCTATTAGTTAGGAAATATGTAATTATACATACCTACATTAGGAAATACTGAAACCTTTTGGGGATGAGAGGGTAGGGCAGGTGTTCATGGTATGATGGTTCAGAGGAGAAAATAGAATCCCCAAGTCCTAGGGAAGGATCCCAAGGGACAGTAGAACGTGCAGGAAGTCACAGAGCAGCTGGCTGCCTGAAGCTGGGACTAAGCCATGGATGGCCTCCCCTCCCAAGCTAAGCTTGGTCCTTCCTCTGGGCATGAGCTGGCACAGGGTCAAGCCCAGAGAGCTCCCCTCTAGTTTAAACTGAAGGAGCCACTTTGGGAAGAATCTTTAAATTTTTTTTTATTTGTTCTATTTAGATAGACATGACAGTAGAGTGTACTTTGACATATCGTACATTCGTGGAGTATAACTTCCCACTTTTTTGGTTGTACATGATGTAGAGTTTCACTGATTGTGTATTCATATATGAACATAAAAAAGTTACGTTTGGTTCATTCTAATGTCTTTCCTGTTCCCACCTCTCTCCCTTCCCTTCATTCTCCTTTGTCTAATTCAATGAACTTCTATTGGGAAGAGTCTTGAACTTGGAGAAGATAATGATATACAGCACCAGGTCTGCTACTCATTAGCTATATGGCTTTGGCCAGATTTCTGGTTCTCAGTTAGTTTCCTTATCTGTAAAAGAAAGAAGGAGCAGAAGATGACCTGTGAGGCCTTCTTCAGTTCCCATATTATAGGATTTCTGGAACCTACCAGAGCTCCTGGGGTGCCCTGACTTGGGACTGACCTTGACGTACACGGGCTTCATAGGGAGGATGTCTGAGAAGCTTGTGCGATTTCCAGGGCTGCTGTTACTACAGTCTATAGGAGAGATTCAGGGGACCAAGAGGTACCCAGTTCCTATTGGTTCCCAACCAAACATGCCACCTGTCAAAATATTCCTCTTATAGTTGGAGTCTTACAAAAGTATAAAAAATCCATTTCATTTGGCTTTTCATTCAATGATTGCTTTTATTGAAAAGAGCAACATGGAATGGAGATCATCCCAGGGCATCTGGATCCTTATAAGGGATACAGAATCTTGCTGTCAGAATAGGGGACAAAGACACACAGCTGTGCCATTTGTAACTGATGGAGTCGCTGGGTATGCTTTTCATTAATGATCCCTTGCCACTTCAGAATGGATGGCAGATCTCCAGCACTATTAATTTTGCTCTTGTAACATATTCACACCAAATCATTGGGGGGTGGATGTGCAATATTACATCTGGAGAGGCTTCAGCCCCCTAATACTGCAGCATTAATATAACGGAGTGAAGACTAGAGGGAGAGAGGGAAAGGAGCTCAGAAGTACAAGATCCAGGACAAGGAACTCAAACTGAATAGTAGGAAAAAGAAATCATGCCTCTGGCTTCCAGGGGAGTTCCCTGGTCATTACTGACAGATCATCAGTTTGTGTCATAGGGTGTGGAACAGGCCTAACACCTATATTTCAGGAGTTTCAACTCTTACTGCTATGGAGCAAGAGGAGATTATGGTTTCTGACTTCTAGTTTCCATTATTTGTCACCAAACATGACATAGTTAATGGAATTTCCCTAACACAAGTCAATATTTGGGAAAGCATAATCATATCGTAAAGAAAAATAATAAAAACTTTAAAGGAAAAAGATCCTTTAGCCTCGTGAAAGTTTGAGATCTACCTAATGAGTTAAAAAAAGTCAAACCCCAGGGACATTAGACAGATAATTTTTTTTTTAACTTTCACTTTTCTTTAAAATTATAGCAGTGTATAGGAGCCACAGATTCCAAAAAGAATCAGCTTCCAGGGTTAGAGAACAAGACTTGCAAATGGAATCATCCCAAATAGCAGCTATAGTAAAAACCAGAAAAGGTCCTAGATGATCAGTCTGTCCTGAGACATGGAATGCCCCCTAAGAAGAAGGTGCAACACAACACTGAGGTACTTTTCAAATCTCATTTGATTTCCAAAATTCTTTCAAGAAGAAGCCAGCCTAAAATGTGACATACTGTCAACTTTGATCTTATAACACATTCACACCAAATGCAAGCAGAAAAATGTTAGTTTGCATGGTGGATAGAAATGAAGATCCAAAGAGTAAAGATTTGAAATGTTTTCCCATTCCTGTCCTTGAAAGAGTCTGGAACTTGAGGTGCATGTATGTGGTAGGTTTGTTACAGTGTCAAGCAGGTACAATTTTATAGGTTCTATTGTGGTTGGTTGTCACTCTAAAGATACACATCCATGGTACCTTTAAAATTTATATTTCAGATTTTCACTGTGTCCTGTGAATTTGGTTCATATGAATCAAAGGGGTTTTGACTCATGCAAAGGTTAAGGGGTTCTGAAGTCATGTCTAGGCTAAATGGGAAAGAGCCTGACTGATTCAGCCGAAAAAGGACTGTGGCTGAACCATGGAGAGAAGGCGTATATGCCATATGTGGGCCATTCTATTTCCTAACATTCATTGAACTGATACCATAAAAAGTAAGAGGAGTGAATTCTTAGTTGGCCTACTATGGTTCGATCATCAGAAAAGTTTCAACTAACCACAGACCTTCAGTTTTCTTTATCTTTCTCATTTCTTGACTCCACTGAGAGTTCTAATGAGGAATCCTTATTCTGATGATAAAAATGGTAGAGTGATGTATCTTACTTATACATACATTAGAATGAAATCTTTACAAAATTTGTATTTGTTCTTTTTAGTTATATATGACAGTAGAGTGTATTTTGACATATCATACATACATGGAATACAACTTCCCATTCTTATGGTTGAACATGATATGGAGTTTCACTGGTTATGCATTCATATATGAACATAGGAAAGTTGTGTCCAATTCATAGAATGAAGTCTTACATCGGAAAATAAGTTCCTTTAAGGGCTTGGGATATTTTGTTCACTGTTGCCTCCTTAGGGCTTAGAATGCAATAGTCTCTTCCTCAGGAGGTGCCTAATAAACTTGTGGGATGAATGAATAAACAGATCACTAATTCTGAAAATGAACTTTCAATCCTGGGTCTGCTACTCACTAGACTTGTGACTTGGACAAGGAAATTATTTAATTTCTTTGAGCTGACTCTGTTTTATCATCTGAAATATGGCTGCATAGCAGTGTTGTAGTGAGGATGATATGAGATATCACAGAAAGGGGCCTGTGTAGATCTTTGAGGATAAACATGTACTCAGTGAATGTTAGCTGAACGTGACCTAAATTTAATAGGTTTCTAAAAAGACCATAGCAAAGAGAAATGCAAAAATTTTCTTCTCATTGTCCATCAACATCCAAGCAAATTAGTTAAGGAGGAACTGTGTGGAATATTAAAGATAATTTAACACCCATCATTCAGTAGTGATTCAAGACAAATTTAGACCGATGAGGACTTAGAGGCATTGTAAGTGGGTATCCCTGGATGGAAAACTGGGAGAGGCCTATTTGTTTCAATTTTACTAGACATGAATCTGAGGGGCCATGACCTTTATACTTAGCACACTTACCTGTATGTCTTGAGGTGGTATTTCCTATCTCTTATCATGTGAGGGGCTCGAGAGAGAATGGCATTTCGTAAAATTTTTCCAGCCCTGAGGATCTTCTCTGAAGGAACCTGGATTTTAATGAAGTAGAAGGAGGGGAGGATAAAGAAGGAGAGTTTATAGAAGGAAAACAAACTGGCTGAATCCTTAAATCACTTTATAATTGGAGTCTGGTAGAAAAACATAACCCACTCATACATATTTACATTGTTCACTGTGACATGTCACTGTGTTATGCTGAGAACTGAGATGCACTGAATATTTATTGTCTCAAAAACGGATCAGAGGTTTCTTGATGTGATGCTCTGACATGTGGACCACCTCCAGTGGTCCTTAAGAAGCGAGCTCGGACGGCTCATCAACCCACCTACATCCCATTACCTTGGTAATGGTGTTAGCAGGACGAAGAGGAACGTGAGGTTCAATGAGAGGTGTCTGAAAAATAAAATGTCAAAGCAAAAGAAAATTAAACAAAAAGTTCAGTAAGGAAAATTATGGGTTGGGGGATAATAAGAAATATCAGGTTTTTTTTTTATAAAACTCAAAATAGAATTTAAAAAAAGCAAGAGATAAAAGCTGCCTAAAGAACTTGAATGCATTGGCATTCAAAGGGCAAAATTAGACCATTCAATTTGCCAACATTTAAATATAAATTATTAAAATGAAAAAAAAAACAAACAGGAATGATTAGATGTTTGTAGGCTTAATGAGAAGGGAATAAATATCCACTCAAAGCATACCAAACATCAGAGCAGGGAAAAGCAAAACAAGATATACATAAACAGAGATTAAAGTGACCTCTCTCAGGGGATGGCAATAAAGTACTGATCTGGGATGGAAATGAGCTATTTCATTCTCTTGCATGTAGTTAAGATTCTTTTTCAGTGATTTTTATTTGTAGAAAATAAGTTTTAATTTTCAAATGTGGCTCCTTGGTAGTTCTACACCCCCATCTCCCATAGCCCACTGAGGCAGACAGAGTACTTCTCCTTCCTTCACAGGAATCATGCAGGTTTCAGGATTCCATGACTGTCCGAACAACTCTAGGGCTGCAGGAAGCTCTTGTTATTATCTGCATTCTTCAGATGGAGATGCTGAATTTGAATCCTGGTCAATTTCTTACCAGTTAGCTATACAATTGAGCCCCCCCCCCCCAATCTCACCCAAACTCCTTTGCTTTTTCTGTGAAATATCTGGTAATGGCATTTCCAAATGGGAGAAAGATACCTTTAGTGAAAGGAGGTGGAAGAATCACCAGTACAACACTGTTTACCACTTTAGAAGGTAAGATAGCTGTTCACTTCTTACGAGATTTTGGTAGAAAGAACCAGGGCCCCCCAAAGAACCATGACCCCAAAGATGGTCATGTCCTTAGCCCCAGAACCTATGAATGTTAGGTTATATGGCAAAAAGGACACTACAGGTGTGATTAAGTTAAGGATCAAAATAGGGAGACTGCCCTGGTGTTTCAGGGGAGCTGAATGTAATCATAAGGGTGTTTGAAGACAGAAGAAGGAGGCAGAAGAGTCAGAACCAGAGAGAGCAGGGTAGGGAGGAGTTGGCTCCCCTTGGTGAGCTTTGAAGACAGAAGAGGCCAAGAGCCAAGAAATGTAGCAGCCTCTAGAGGACAGAACAGCCACGCCGACTTCCCTGTGAGCCTCCAGAAGGAACAGAGTCTGCTGCCATCTTGATTTTTGCCCAGTGAGACCCACTTCAGACTTCTGAACTCAGGCATGATTAGGTTGTTAATTTGTGTTATTTCTATACACTCAATCTGTGGTAATTTGTTATAGCAGTCACAGAAAACTAATATTATACTTTATATTATAATTATTTTAGTATAAAGTATTATTAAAGCCCCTGACTCTTTGCAAATAGAAGCCATTTACAGTGAAAATAAACTGGTAGTTTTCCCTCTGCCCCTAAGTTTAAAAATATAGTCAATGGGGGAAATTAAGGCCAATATTAGTTTAAAACAATGCATGAACCTAAATATGAATATACATGTATCAACATATATCTTCATTTTTATTAATAATAAATTTCAGACGGGCCGAAAAAGAGAAAAAAACACTACACTCAAAAAAAAAAAAAAAAACCAGCATAGATGAGAGGCAGACTTATTTACAATGGCTGAAATCTCATGGAACTTACCTAAATACTTTTGTCACCCACTGGCATCTAGTAAGCCTTTTCCCCCTTCCTGAAGTCACCATAGCACAAGTGTTAATTACTATGATAGCATTTTAGCAGCACAGTGTTTATAACCCACATAGACCAAGGAAGGCCAGTGTGGTCCAATTCAACAGTGACTTTAAACAGAGACCAACTTTGCCCTGAAAAAGCCAACTTTGCCCTTAAAGCAGACTTGAGGATAGGAGAGGGATCACAAGCTCTGGAAGTTCCTGTGCTTACACCAAAGCTTCAAAGAAGATGGGGAATTCTGTTGACAGCCTATCACTTGGGATCACATCAAATTGCCCACCATCACACACACCAGGGCTTTGGAAATGAGTGGTTAAAACATGCTGGGTACTTCCCAGCAGAGAGCTCCCAGTTCTCATGGATTCTGCCTCCACCTTCCACAGGTTGTTTTCCATGTCTAGGATCATGCCTGGTTCTGCATCTTAACAGTAAAGGCCTCTGGTTATTCTTAAAAATAACAGTAAAAGCCCATTTCTCTTCCTGTCTTGGAGGAAAGAAGTGTGGAGGTGGGCTTAGCTTCCCAGGTCACCTTTTCTTTCCTGTGAAAAACTGACTTTCTTTTACAGTGGTCTTTGAGAGGCAGGTAAGCTTGGGGCCCAGAGGATGCCCGTGCTGGAGGACAGCTGATAAATATTTGCTGGCGGACTCACTAAAACATTTTTTGAAGATGACATCTTTTTGTTTCTACAGAGATGGCTGTATTTTAACAAAATGCTAATGAGTTGTCCCCAGGTTAGTTTATTTTGTGGGAGAGCTCCCTTTTTAGTTCCTTGGAACCTTGAAAAGAAAGTACTACTAAAGCTGTGGAAACATCAAGCTTCAACCAGAATTTTCCTTTTGATCTGCAACTTCTAAAGACATAAAATGTACACAAGGTTGTCTTTTAGCTAGACAATTGTAGTTCAGCTCCAGGACCAAGAGGCTGTTTAATCTGTTGAAAGGCAGTGTTTTCAGAACCTTCTCGAGCTCAAGCATTTTAGGCTTAGGGGCGACACTATGAATGGATGCTTTGAGGAGGAGCTGCCCCTTTATTTAAATAAAACCTCCAAGGGACACATCAGGTGAAAGCAGGGAAAGTGTTGTTTTGAGGAAATGGGAATCTGTCTTTGAAAGGGATAGTACATTCAGTTCAGCAACCTCCTACCATTCTAACAAACACACTGGTACCCTACAGCTGTGTGTTCTGAGACAGCATTTGTGACAGGCAGCTGGGTCGATTAGAAATCATCACTGGCCAATGCCTGTTCAGGGACCTCTCTTGCTTTCGGATCCATTTGTTTATTTCCTTTTTGTTTTCCTTTAGCTTTCAGGTAAGCTTTCTTTTGAGAATTTCACTTTAGCTGTGTTATTGAGAAATAAGGACCCTAATTTCATTTTATAAATGACTAGGTTAAACAGAAGAAGGAAAGACAAAACATGGTGAGATTGGTAGAACTCAAGTGAGAAACTCGCATCATGCACCATGATCCTTTTTCTGTGCTCTCTCCTTATTTTATTATTATTACTGAGAAAACTACAACCACAGACATGTAGGGACTGGCCTGAGCTCACACAACAAAAACTGGAATTGCTGAGTGTCGAATCCAGGCTTAGCTCATTCTAGTGTTTATGCTGCAGGTACAACTACCCCATCTCACCTGTCCTTTTCCTTTAGAGACATCTTGGCTCATGGTTTGAAAGAGTTAAAGTGCACTGAGAAAAGTGCATTTAAGTTCTTCCAGGTTATCAGTCATTAGACTTGATCTCAGGAATTTCCAGCAGTAAAAATTTCTATGGAGCGCTGGGGTTGTAACTCAGGGATAGAGCACTTGCCTAGCACATGTGAGGCACTGGGTTCGATCCTCAGCACCACATTAAAAAAATAAAATAAAGATATTGTTGTCCATCTACAACTAAAAATATTTTTTAAAATGTTTCTAATGATCTCCTGAGATTCCACACTGGCATCATGCATCATGCTTGGTCACGAACAACTTTTTAAAAAGCAACTTCACAATAATGAAATATTTAGCATTGAGGGGCTGTTGCATCAGGGCTAAAGTAAATATACCAAGGAGAGGGACAGCAGTAGAGTCCACCTGGGAAAATGGAAGCCAGTTGGAGGACTGATCACAGAAGGAATTAAAGGTTTGGAAGTAGTTTACAGGTGGTGGAACAGCTGGGAACTCAGACAGCTCTGAGTTGACCCTGACATTCGTTAAGCAGGAAGCCCTTGGGGACAGGGATAGAGAGAGGAAGAAGCAGTTCCAGGGCTTAAGCCAGGTGTTCTATCGGACACTGGCGATGCTGCCACCCTCCCACGGCCAAGAGGGAGGTGAGAACTTCTAGTGTCCAATTTCCCTCCAGCCAGAACCAGAGAAATAGGGAAAATAATTTTATTTTATAAATGATCAGGTTAAACAGAAGAGGGAAACAAGAAGTATGGTGACATCAGTGAGAATCAAAGCAGGTAAACCAACCAAAAGGCAAAAACCAAGGACAGGGGAACCCAGGAAACATGTTCCAGAGGCAGTCCCCTTGTCGTGCCCAGCAGAGCACAGGAGGGGCAAGGAAGAGCTCTAAGGCCCTGCACAGCACAGCAGGGCTGCAGCAGCCACAGCCTGGGCAGGGACTCCCACCTGCAGAACCCCAGCTTGCTGCCCCATATCCTCCAGGGATCTCCTGTTGGCTAGGCAAGGAAGGCAGGTGGAGCTTGAATGGAAGCCATTCGAGAGCAGGGGCTTCATTAGTGATTGTCTGTTTCCTAGACCTACCCTCGGATTTGACCTATAGCCAGAATGCACAAAATCACAAAGAGCCCTACAAGCAATGGATCCCTCTCCGATTAAATTTCATACATTTCAACACATCAATCATGTGTTGATAAAAAATTTTCCTTCCTACCTGGGCATGAAAGAATCCAAACTGGGCTGTGAAAATGTGATCCTAAAAGCTAGGCAGGGAGGACAGATAAAGGCAGAGGCATTCAGCTCTCGCTCGGCTTTTCTTGGCCGCCTCCTCTGAAGACTTCCCTCAGGATTGACCGTAATTGGTTTTTGTTTGTTTCTGGAAAGGGGATGCTCTTTCTACTGCTTTTTATTATGTTTATATTACTACTGAAAGGGAGAAACAGGAAGGGAAAATATTCCTTTTGGCACCAGAGCCAATTCAGAAATACTAATCAGGTGATGGAAAATATGAATTTAGCCTGCATTACAAGATGCACAATAACTCCCCAGCAGATTATAATG